AGGCACACAGCATTGAGTCCAGGATGGTCGGTGATGCAGTCCAGCACCTGATTGAAGTGTTCCTCTCCTTGTCGATGTACAGTCACTACTTCTTGAATTTCATGGCAGCAAACACATTCAACTGCTGTAGGCATTTGCTGGCATTTACCACAAGTACACCTGACATAAAAAAAAAAAAAGTAAAATACTGAGCGATGACACCATGAGCATTCATTTTATTGAACAAGTGTATTGCTTACAGTTGTCACTGGGTGGTACCACCGCACTACGGTTCACTTACATTACGGAATGTCCTGCCATACTTATTTGTCTATATTTATTTGTCATGTCCTTGTTTATGATGATACCAATGCAGCGTCTTATACCGGAGACAAATTCCTTGTGTCTTCTACATACTTGGCCAATAAAGACAATACTGTTGTATATTTTGAATCAAATATTTGCATAAACAAGTATATGGATGGAATACCATACAAAAGTTAAAATTCATTACAAAAATCTCTCAAGTACAAGTCAAACAATGATTTGCTAAGAATACTCAAGTACCAAGTAGGCTAACTGCTTGAACATGAAGTCTGATTATTTTTTTTAAACAATGTCATCAGATAGATCAAAACATAATATTATGTGCACATGCCTGCATCTTCAAATCATATAAATAATACCAGCCTATATCTTACCAATCTTGTGATCTTGATGGGTCTTGTCTCCATTCCATGTCAGGTCGTCTGGGCACATTGTTTTCATCCTGATTAGCGTCTGGCTCATATATGTAAGGTCCAACATGTAAAATTCCAACCTCCTCTTCTTCCTCCAACTCTTCAAAATCTTGGATATCCTCACTTGCGCTCGATCGATCGCTTGTATCGCTGTTTGAATCATTGTTTGAAATGCTTTGCATGTCTACCATATGGAGCTGTGTCATCGCTGTTCTCCATGTGACGTATCACTTCCGGGTTCCGCCCCTTTCGGGCTGGAACTTCGGAAAATCCATTATTTTGTCAAATATACAACATATAAATTATTTTTTCATGCTTTATTTGGTGGACAATGTTTAAGTACTTTCATTGTGACCCTATTTGGCATTTCATGAAATGACTTCACACTTGGCCTTTAACTAATTACATAACGACCAACAGGTGTGCAGCTGCAAAAACTATTTATACTCCAAGGCCGTAAATGAATTTCACTGTTTTTTTTTTTTTTTGTTTGTTTTGTTTTGTTTTTTAATGGGGCCCAAATCCCTTCTAAGACCCTGTTCAGCTATAATTTTTGGTAGGATCTAGTTCTACATGTTCATTTGGTATATTGACTCCACTAGTAAGGACAACAAATTTTAATACAAGCAAGTAACATCATGGAATAAGCTACCACCATGCCTATGTATTGAAATACATGAATTTGACATGGAGAGGCACACTTAGCATTCACATAAGACATGGCCGACAAACCGATGGAACTAACTACATTTGACTTCACTTGCAATAAGTCTCTCTGTAGAGACAAAGTTGAACTTGCTATTCACTTCTGGATTTTGAATCACATGCAAGTCCACAAGCTATTATAAGCAGAGCATGAGAAAAATAAAGGCTGTCCCCTTTTAATTTGTGCCCGCCAAGGTCAATTTGTTGCTATCAGGAAATCACAGGGGGAAGTAAATGAGGGGGAGGAGGATGGATAGGAAGCGAAAATCATTTCAAAGGAGGGCCTGTGGGACTGAATAGAAAGCCAACAAAGCAATCAGCTGCCCTTCACAAATGGCCTGAGGTCACTAAGGAGTGAAAAAAAACAGTATTCAGCGGTGAGGTGTTGCCAATGTGCTTGGGACATGCAATTGAAGCTCATCATATGGAACAGGGCTCGGGAAATCCGGTTCCTCGTGAGCCATATCCTTCCCGTATTAGATCTCTCTCTCCTTCAAAACACCTGATTCAAATGATCAGCCTGAAACGATCAGGAGCAATTGAATCCCATGTGTTAGAGTCGGGGGGGATCTAAAACAGGCAGGATATGGCTCTCGAGGAACCGGAGTTCCCTACCCCTGATATGGAACAAACAGCATCGGTGATCAAGCACGAAACAAAAATGCTGGAATTCAGAAGTTCTGGTGGTCAGTCCTCAAATGGATAAAAGCCGCATGCATGCGTGTGTGTGTGTGTGTGTGTGTGTGTGTGTGTGTGTGTGTGTGTGTGTGTGTGTTTGTGATCAATGCCAGATTATGTCACACGTTTTTGTAATAACAATACAGAATAGTCAGGCAGACATTGTTCAGGGACTCAGGCTCGGAAAAAAAGTCGTGTCAACCACAAAAATTGGTTGACACAAAAATGTATGCCTCAAAAGTATAATCAAGCATTTTATTAGCATACTTGCGATGCCCGCACAGACATTTCTTGCCGCAGATGGCTTGACGCAAATATCTATCCAGATTCAGAGTTCTTTTTGTCCTCAAAATTTAAGTTTTACGTTGTTACGGGCGGCACGGTAGTCGACTGGTTAACACGTCACAATTCCGGCTCCGGCCTTCCTGTGTGGAGTTTGCATGTTCTCCCCGTGCCTGCGTGGGTTTTCTCCGGGTCCTCTGGTTACCTCCCACATTCCAAAAACATGCATGGCTAAACACCTAAATTGTCCCTAGGTGTGACTGTGACTCTGAATGTTTATGCCTGTGTGCCCTGTGATTGGCTGGCAAACAGTTCAGAGTGTCCCCCGCCTACTGCTGGAGACAGCTGGGATCGGCTCCAGCACGCCCACGACCCTTGTGATGATAAGCGAAAATTGATAGATGGATGTTGTCCCGGTGATGTGAAGCAGAGGTTGCTTGGAAAGGGGAACACTGGAACGTAGACGCATGACTGTGAGCCAGTGACTGGGTCAGTCAGCCACCCACCAAATTAGTATTATGATCGGTCAAAGGTAAGATGTTGAGTCTTTTTTACTCATTAGGTAATATATCCGACCTTGGTGTTTGTAGACTACACAATACATTGGATTCATTTTGCAAATGATGCAAATCCCTGGGTAATAGATGAAATAATAGATTCCAAAAATATTCTATTGTTACAAAGCTAAGGCAGACATTGCACGTTAATTGACCCAAGGTACAGTAGGCCGGTCTGGAAGCTATAAACCAGTTCACTGTCAATGTGGCCGACATTTCAAATCATGAACCACGACCCCCACTACCAAAAAAAAACAAAAACAAAAAACAAAAAAAGCTAGAAGTGAAAAACGGTTCAAAGTTAATTGAGTCAAAAAACACTGGCAGAAGAAATGCAAGCACAAGTAAGCCGGAGTACCCACTTGTGAAACCAGTTGTAATTAATAGACAGTGTGTGTGTGTGTGTGTCTGTGTGTGTGTCTGTGTGTGTGTCTGTGTGTGTGTGTGTGTGTGTGTGTGTGTGTGTGTGTGTATTGTGATTGGCTGGCAAACAGTTCAGAGTGTCCCCCGCCTACTGCTGGAGACAGCTGGGATCGGCTCCAGCACGCCCACGACCCTTGTGATGATAAGCGAAAATTGATAGATGGATGTTGTCCCGGTGATGTGAAGCAGAGGTTGCTTGGAAAGGGGAACACTGGAACGTAGACGCATGACTGTGAGCCAGTGACTGGGTCAGTCAGCCACCCACCAAATTAGTATTATGATCGGTCAAAGGTAAGATGTTGAGTCTTTTTTACTCATTAGGTAATATATCCGACCTTGGTGTTTGTAGACTACACAATACATTGGATTCATTTTGCAAATGATGCAAATCCCTGGGTAATAGATGAAATAATAGATTCCAAAAATATTCTATTGTTACAAAGCTAAGGCAGACATTGCACGTTAATTGACCCAAGGTACAGTAGGCCGGTCTGGAAGCTATAAACCAGTTCACTGTCAATGTGGCCGACATTTCAAATCATGAACCACGACCCCCACTACCAAAAAAAAACAAAAACAAAAAACAAAAAAAGCTAGAAGTGAAAAACGGTTCAAAGTTAATTGAGTCAAAAAACACTGGCAGAAGAAATGCAAGCACAAGTAAGCCGGAGTACCCACTTGTGAAACCAGTTGTAATTAATCGACAGTGTGTGTGTGTGTGTGTCTGTGTGTGTGTCTGTGTGTGTGTCTGTGTGTGTGTGTGTGTGTGTGTGTGTGTGTGTGTGTGTATTGTGAGGTCCACACTGGTGTTAGCTCACATGATGGTGATTTCTACATCTGTTTCTTCATCATCTATTTTTCGGGTACGTAAAAAGAGAACTTACCTGGGAATTGGTAACTATAACTTGGTGCAAAACCGCTGTATCCTCTTCCATATGTGGCTACGATATTGGGATAACCTAAACAAGAAAAAAAACACCCTGATTTAAAATTTCATTCTAAAATTTGTTGTAAAATATTGTTCATGCTGGGGTTTGAAGAAGTAAATACCGGAACATGCCCAAAGAGCATGTATGTATGCCACACTGAAACTAAACACTTTACTTACTCAACATGCCCATACCAATCATGAAGGCATCCATTGTAGATGGCAGACCTCTGGCCCGACCCCGTGTCCCTGGTGGGTACATGACTTCTTTTGGTTGGGCTTTTTTGCATTCTACCTGTGAAGCATAGACAATGAAGGATGATGGCACTGTAAAAATGAAAATGGTAAATAAAACCTTTGGAAAGTAAAATTCCCCCAAAATATGTATTATTTAGCAAATTCTGAGAGCCTCTGCCAGTTTTTTTTTCTTATATGTAACACTGCATGAATAAATGTGAAATGCTCAAGTTTGAACATTCATGAACAAAATGGGCCCATATAAATACAGTAAGGCCAAAGAAGTGCTTATTTACAATGTGTGAAATGACCAATGAAAAGAAAAAACAGCAAACATTCTAAAACATTCAGACAGAATGTTGTGTTTATGAATGATTGTACAGTATCGCTTTTTAGGTTTGCTATTCCTCCAATGTGACCTGGACTGGAACCAACGATTTGCTATTCTAACTGCTAAAGAACAGTGACCAAGGAAGAAGGCTTTTGCGGAGACCCATTTGACTTGAGAGTTAAAATTCTCATTTTGTCATCATCACAGCATTAGGACTTCATACGGATAAAGATGACAAGCTAACCATCACAAATTTAAAGGATTAGGGCAAGGAATTCTGGTTCCTTGAGATATATATCTCCTGCCTATTTTAGAGCTCAAAATCTACTTCAACACACCTGATTAAAACAATCAGCTCATCAGCAAGCTCTGTGGAATCCTGAAATGATTATGATCGAATGAAACAGGTGTTTTGGAGTGGGGAGAGATCTAAAAGAGGCAGGATATGGCTCACGAGGAACCGGCGTTCAGGAGGGAAAGCTGTGCCTTGGGGACGACCAGCAAAGAAAGGGGTGACATTTTAATACCAAGAAGTTAAAGAGGGGTTTGAAAAACTAAACTGATCAATTCTTGCCCACAAAAGGGGTTCCAAACTACAGTGGCTTGCAAAAATATTCGTCTCCCTTGAACTTCTTCAGATGTTGCTTCGTTTTAGGCTTCAAACATAAAGACATATTATTTTGGGGGTGAAAGATCAATATGAAGTGAGACACAATTGTGAAGTGGAACGAAATTCATACAATGCTTTAAATGTTTTTTAGAAGTAAAATACTGAAAGCTGGCGCGTGCAAAATTATCTGGCACCCCTGTGTTAATACTTTGTAAAAACACTTTTGCAAAACCATCGGATATCCGATAGAAAGTTGATGCATTATGTGAGAAAACTCCCCATTGTTTTGCACTAATTTGCATCAGTGTGTACACATTCACAATCGTTTTTTGGTTGATCAGAAATGCCTTCTGTGAATGGCAAACACTTGCATTATACCACAGAAGCATAATGATTCTGCGTGTGACTCAGCTTGTACTGTAGATTAATTTGTTGCCATGGTATAGATGAATCACACCAAGTAAAACAACTCACCATTTTATTATTTATTTCGTGAAAATGGATGTCACAGACTTTTTCTGCCAGATCTTCATTTTCAAATGTGACAAATCCAAAACCTGTGGAGAGAGACAGAGGGGTGGCAAGACGACCAAGACAAACATGAGCAAAGTGTCAAAACTGTCCAATAAAACTGTCGACTCATAACGCGGTGCTAGATGGAATCTCCTGTCCCACAATAATTTTTTTTTTTTTTCTTTTACAATCCCTCAAGGGGAAATGTATATTTCACTCTGTGGTATATACCGGGTGACCAAAAATGATTACAAGCCACGTCAGTGCCTGCCATTTCTACAACTGATGATATAATTGCTGTATTTATTCACCAAATTAATTTGATTAGAATGCAATGTAGTCCTCAAAAATAGAGGCCTTCAGTCCATGCGGTCGAGAGTTTATTGCCTTTCCAAAATTTGCTCTAAATGCCCATCTTGGCGCGTCAGACACTCCTGGATGAGACATACCAAATTGACACGAACACAGACACACTCCTATCTTGGAATAACAACGAGCTTGATGGCAATTTCTGCCTCCAAGTCTCGGATTCTTCTGGTGGTGCTCCCCAAGTATTTTTTTTTTCCGTAAACTTTCAAAACCGGTCGGTTCAACAATTTCGGTTGGATGCGATTCCTTTCCTGTCAGTCCTTACACAATACACTTGCGTTTTTTTCCCCTCATGAGTGGTAACCCAAGATGGCAGCCAATCATTTAATCATATTGCAGTGGGGTAGGTCCTGCCTCAGAGGGTGTTTTTTCTTTTTTTTTTTACTTCGGAGGCTGCTCTGGTTGATTCATTATGACGCCAGTGCCAGCATTGTAAGCCATTGCTCCTGAATCTTTATATATCCAACGCAAGATCTCTGGTGGATAAGACAGACATGTTGGAATGACAATATGCTGGAAATCGCTATCTTCATGATGGAGGTCTTTTGTTTCTCACTGAAGTTTGGTTTTCACCTTGGACATTCAATGCTAGCATGCAGCCAGCCTGTCGTTAAAAAAACGGGGAAACATATGGACTGGTTAACTGTTATAATTCCTACAGCGGTGACCTGATTTGGATATACCGTACATCCTCTCAAACTAAAAATGAAAATGTACAATTAAAAGCACAACTTGCTTGTTTTATTTGAAATCCAGTAAGATGGTGATGACAATTGTGTGTGTTCATGTCCCGTGAATGAAGAGATGAAGAAGTTACGTACCTCATGCATGAGCTGAGTTCATTCAGAAATAATTATCATTAGGCAGAGACTAATAATACACATTATGACACAAATCTATGTGCATCGTATAAGACTTATTTAGTAGTCTGAGCTGTTGTTGAGGAGAGTATCATAGTTTTCCAACCTGTTGAGCCAAGGCACATTTTGCGGAAGGAAAACCTCAAACCATTCAACATCACCCTCCCACCCCCGGGATTTGGCATACTGAAATGAAAAAGTACTTACTCAAAATGAAATCTAGGCTTGTACAGCTGAACACAAAGCTGAATTAATTGCAGGGAAGCATGAATTATTCATTTGTATGAATGGCAACAGATGGATACACCTTTTTCCATCCAACTGAAGAGAAGTTATTTGTGATGCCTTCCATTGTATGCCACTGGCAGAGATAGAAAACCAAAATAATAACCACGATTTAAATGTTGTGAATATAACTTTCCCTTTGAAGGACAAGAAATATATATTTTTTCTAGGAGTCAACGCATATCGTATCAAAAACCGTGAACACAAAACCACAAACCGATCCAAACTATGGATTTTGTGAACCGTTCCACTCCAAATTGCATTGTATATCAGAATAATAAAATACCACAATATAGATATTTCAGTTAATCTACAAAAAAATCTACAATCCTTTGTTGAACTAAAACGATAAAGTGATTTTTTTTTTAACAGACTTCTAAAATCCATCCATCAATCCATCGATTATCCAAGCCGAAGGCCACAGGCGTGCTGAGCCTATCCCGGCTGTCTTCGGGCAGGAAGCGGGGTACGCCTTTGAACTGGTTGCCAGCCAATCTCAGGGCACACAAAGACAAAGAACCATTCACACTCACAGTCACACTCCTAGGGATAATTTAGAGCATGGGTAGGGAACTTCAATTATATGTCACTGGTGCGCATTTCAGTCAGAAATGTTCCCACACATTGATCATTTTCTGCCTTTTTTTTTTTTTTACTCATTTTTCGTTCCCATTCCTTCAACCACCAGAGGTATGCCTGATTCTATGTGCATTATTTTCATTACATACAATGACACTGGTTTGCAAAGGTTAATTTGCAAAGGAAGGCACACACTGTTGCAAATTTATCAACTGTGTGACTGTATTTAGCAACTTTTCCTCACCCTTGTGACTATTTTCAAAAAAGTGACGAGTGACAAATTTAGTGATATTTGACAGTCAGACTGTGCCTAATGAACTTTTCAATTTATATGCAGATGCGGAAACATGGCGGCCGCTGTGTATCAAATTATTTTCTAAAACAAACAACTGACAAGAAATGATCATACAGTACATTTCCCACAATGTGTTTTAGTTGTACAGCACAGTGGTTGTATTTTGAGACTTGTTTGTCATTGTCATAAAGGTTCCTTTAAGTATTCCTTCAAAATCTTTCACTGCTCCAATAAATACAGTGAGGTTGTCATTTTGTTTATTTTATCCATCCATTTTCCGATCCGCTTATTCTCACAAGGAGAGAACATGCAAACTCCACACAGGAAGGCCGGAGCCGGAATTGAAACGGGTACCTCTGCACTGTCAGGTCGACGCACTAAGCACTGGACCACCGGGCCACCTGTTTATTCTATTTATGTATTTATTTATTTTAGAAACAGGTTCATTAGAAGTTTCCCCTCATAAATATCTACCATTGATATCGGGTTGACCTGTGATTGACTGGCGACCACTCCAGTCAACTGTGGTATGCTCCAGCTCAATTCGGGGTGGATGACATGGTACGTGATATAGATGAATTTTTCATGTATTCATTTAGCAATATATATATATATATATATATATATATATATATATGGGTTTTTTTTTACCCCCCCAAAGTTTCAAACGATCAAAAATGGAGCCATCACCTTAAATTGCAACAAACTCAAAAGTCACATTTTGTACTGCTTAATATTATTTTACTGGCATATTTTGAGTCTTTTGTGATGCAACAACGAAATAAAACTGGGCATGAACACTTTGTCATCATTATTGTACACCATGGTAAGCAATGAAAACTGTATTTTTGAGATGATTTGTTATATTGGGGGAAGTGTCAAATATCACTAAATTTGTCACTCGTCACTTTTTTGAAAATAGTAACAAGGGTGAGGAAAAGTTGCTAAATACAGTCACACAGTTGATAAATTTGCAACAGTTAGTGCCTTCCTTTGCAAATTAACCTTTGCAAAACAGTGTCATTGTATGTAATGTAAATAATGCACATAGAATCAGGCATACCTCTGGTGCCATCATTCTGTCAAAATTACCATGTGCAATCCAAATTGACTTCATTAAGACTAATCAAAACAACATTGTCTCCTGCCTTGAAAGTTAAAAATTCAGCCTGCAGGAAAGATGATATTGACAATGTCATAAATTACAACTGCATAGAATAAAATGCTAAGGTTGGTGAACAACAGTGACATTTTGTATTCCAAAACTTTGCTCCGATTCCCAAACCAAAAAGCCCTTTGTAGAATAACTGTTCAAGTGCTACTCTGGTGAGCCTAATGATGGATTTGGTGAGGATTTGCCCTGATTTACACATTCTCTTTGATGAAAAAAGGATGTGGAGGGGCCACTTAAGGTCTTTCAAAATAGGATTTCTCGGAAAGTAAATAAGAGCGGGCAGAAGAATCAATTGTGGCAGCAAGCCGTCTCACTCCATTGTAAGGCGCTGAGAAAATATGTTTAACGGAGTTGATGAGCTTATGAAGATAACAAGGAGGAGAGGCTGTGATCTGAAGTAAACAACTTTTAAAACGTGAATTAATTTTAGCTGTGTTCTAGATTGTTGGAGAGGCTTCCTCTGGCTGCCCAGATGAATTATGTAAACATCAAGTTGAAAAGCAGATGTCAAATAGTTTGACATTATTCCATTTCATTACATTAACCCAATGTTGCCGAGGCATGTCACCCAAGACAGCACATGGAGAAACTCCTTGAGGATCCTGTCCATGTCCGGGACCCTTCCACCTAAGTGACCTCAGCCCCCAGCTGTAGGAGTGCCCACTTCAGTGTGCACAGACTGTGGTGCTTCCTTGAAATGCATTTTGTGGCAATCAAGGTGGTCTTCGAAGAATTCCCTCCCCTGACAAACAACATCCCAAGCTTATGTCAACAGCGCCCCCGGCCCTACCCTCTCCTGAGATGTCTAACATCGTCCTCCACCAGTGAAGCTCTTGAAAATGGCTTATGTAATACATACATGAGTGTTTTTTTTGATAATTGTGTGGACATGTTCACTCCACTATACCAGTCACACAGTGCAAATGGGCAGCAATTTCACTGCTCACACTCGGCTCAACTATTTTGTCTCTTGTTTTCCTTGAAGGAACTGACGCATTTATTTACGTTGACATCAAGACAGTTCGGACTTGAAATAGACATATCAATCCAAAAAGCCATGGGAGTCTTTTCTCTATATCAACAACTTAACATTCGGGGGACAGGGGGAGAGTGAGAGGAAGACAAGATGACTGAGAGGTAAACAGAAATAAGGTAGATAAAGGTGGCTGGCAGAGAAGACAGACAGTTTGAGAGTCTTCTCGAATTAGATGATGGCAATGCTCGTAGACCACTTTAATAGCAATCTAGGTGTGTGACAGATGAGACACTGAAGACTTGTGGATGGTCTTATCTCTCTGCCTCCATGGATTTATTGCTCACTAGCTTAGTATTCACACTCTTGAATATCAATTGTGAAGCTGCTGATTGCTAGCACACGAATTATGAGCGGGGATCTTGCCAAAGACAAACAAATATTTGATTACACTTGTCAAGGCTGATCAAATCTCTTCCAGTAATTATTTGAACGCTCAAACTGT